TGGGGACAGAACAGCTCTGCCTCTGAGTGGATGGAGGGAAGGGCAGCCGTGGGAAGAAAGCAACTCTGAGCTTCAGGCGTGTCAGCCGCCGAGCCTGGCAGGTTTCAGGGAGGGACACACGAGATGCGGCCCCGAGTGGGGAGGGCGGTGCTGGGCGCGGCGGGCTGAGTAGGTGCCGCCTGCTCTTGTTAGTATTGTTATTATTATTACTAACTCCCAGCACTTGCTCACTGAGCCTCATTGTCACCGTCGCCCGAGCCAGGAACCAGCCCTGGCGGCTCCGTCATGACTCATCCACACATGAGCAATAACCGGGTCTTACGGACTTGGCTTCCTAAATATTTCTTCAACCCGCATCCTCTCTCTGTGTTTAAATCTCCGCTTCCATTGCCTTGGACCAGGCCCTGGTCCTTCAGAGGAGCCTCCGCTGCCCACCTTCTCCCCGAGTCCCCCCGCCTCCCCGCCCTGCAGTGATGGGTGGGAGGTGAGGGTCCAGCCGGAGGGTCCTGGAAAAGACGCGGCTCCGGCAGGATGCGGACACCGCTCTGGGCTGGGCCTCCCACCGGCAGCACAGCCGGTCCACTCAGCGTGTCAGGCATGGGTTTCCTGTGGTGCCAGTTTCTTAGCCTCTGGGCACACAGGGCCGACTGACACGTACACAGCAGGGAATGAAACTTAAGGAGCTTACAACCCTGGAAAGCGCTGTGGGCACAACGTAGAAAAGAGATTTCTGCACGGCTTTATGGCAGAGCCAGAAAGGCAACCAAGACGGGCTGGGAGGCCCCACCTCAGCTGCCGGCACGAAGGGCACCACCCTCTCGCCCATGGCACACTCAGGCTGCCATCCGGCAGGAAATGCCGCCGCGGACACTGGCGGGCTCTGCCCCAGTGAGGACTTCTCTGTTCCCGCGACAGACACAGGGGGAACGGCTTTTCCCCGGGGCTTACAGTCGAGGGAGGACACGGGGGCTCGGAGGAGAGCCCAGATCTCCTTGACCCCAAGGGCTCGTCGTCAGAGAAGACACGGAGCATGGCCGCCTGGGTGCCATCCTGGTCCGCGGAGCCGGTAGATGTGTTGTGCTGAGAAACGCCACCGCGGCAGGCATTGCCTCCCAGCCAGGTGTCGGGTCACGTCTTCCAGACTCGCGTGTGGGCACAGCTGGCTGGGACCTTGCCCTCCAGGCCCGGACCTTGCGGCCCAGCACCCTAAGCCGGGAGGTCCCGCCACCCGCTCCAGTGTCCATCCAGCACCTGCCAACCTCGGGGAAGCCCCACCTTGACTTGCACCCAGGAGGTTGGTGTTCCCAGTCTTTTAGACTCTGGCTCACACCTGCCGGTCGCCCACCTCTCTCTTGCACCCAGAACATTCTCTACTCCCTCCCCGCTGTGCCCCCAGTTACCTCGCCCAGGAGGCCGGCTGTGCCACTGCTCAGAGCCGCCGCCAGGGGAACAGTCGGCAGTGCTCTGCTTTCAGCCGCCCCGCGGTGTTTTAAGACCACAATCTGCACACACAGGTTTTATTTGTGTGCTTTTCTCAAGCCTCTGTTAGGAGGCATTACTCATAACCCAGTTTGGTGGAAATCTATTGAGATACTCAAGGTCGAGTTAAATATACCAAGTATTTGTAACCGCCGCTCTCCGCCTGCTAATTGTACGAGAGGTGGGTGCTGAGGATTTGAAACCTGAAACCCAAGCATTCAGCAACATGCTTCCATCTGTAGCCAGGTAACTTTCCACGGTGCAGAGCTGCTCCCGCCTGCCGGCTGCAGACGACATATGTGACCTCAAAGAGGGCTCCAAGCTCCAAAGCCTGGAAGCACCTGATTTCTTTGAAAAGCGAGACGGAGGCACGGGTCTGAACAGAGCAGCAGGTGGAAAGGCAGGTGGCTCTTTTGTTGGCGGGAGCGAGCAACTGGGCTGTGGAGACTTCGTGCCCGGCGCTGTACCTGGGGCGGGGGGCGGGGTCAGTCCTACGCTCCTCTCCCGCCTGCGTCTGGGTGACATGCTGCCGGACACGTGCAGCCTGGCATTCGGAGGCCTGGACCTGATGTGACAGCTCCCGTCGCTGGGGCCACACACCAGGGACACCGGTCTTCACGGCGCCCGCCGATGTGTCCTCTGGCTGGGGCCGGTCAGCGGCTGGAACTTCCCCTGCAGGACGTGTGTCCTCCGACGTGCACTTCCCCTTCAGGAGAAGAGACCGCAGTCCTGCCTGTCCTGGGCCAGGGCCCGCGGGCCGTGCCCAGTGTCTGAGGAAGAAGGGACCCCTGGGATGCAAGCGACGCGGCACCCAGCCTGGAGTCTCCGCCAGCCGCCTGGGGAAAGGGTGGGTGGGAGTCGCAGGGTCGGGGCACGGGAGGTTCCTGAGGGTGCTGAGGAGGGTTCTCACCCTCTGAATGGGGAGATGAGAGCGTGCGTCTTTGCAGGGACCCTCCAGGACTGTAGGGCCTAACAGCACCTCCTCCTCCGGCGGCGGGCAAGGCCCTGGGTTACTCGGACTGACGTGTGTGTCTTGAGGAGCTCAGGGCGCCTCCCTTGGGGGGAAGGGGTGCGGCGCACTGTCCCCCATCGTCCATAAAGGAGTGAGGAAGAAGAGGGTGCAGCGGCGTCCTGTGGGCGGCAGGCGAGGGCGCTCCGGCCGCCACGGGCCTCACCCCAGCGGGATCCCCGTCGGGCAGGATGAAGCCTGTGCCTCTCAGCCCGAG